ATTCTTAATTTTAAATTAAAAAATGTTTTTTTTTCTTAACTGATTATCATTCTAGGAGAATATTTTTTAAACATAAAATTTCATGCTGAAGTTAACTTAAGTGTTTTTGATGATCTAATATTCATTTCAATGATTAATTTTTCTCCTCAGAGTTCAGTATTTGCTTTAAATGTAGCTTGATTTTTTACTAAATTATCTTAAACGAATACCTACCCCTTTTTTTAGCATTCAAGAGTTTTTTTTTCCTTTAATTATATTTAAATTTCGAAGAGCTTCCAGATATCGCAAAATTTTTTCTACAGACGCGCCAGGAAAAAGTTTAATCAAATTTCGGAATACATGGCCTAAAAGCTAGTATGCTGATCTAAGAGTTGTAAAAAACAACATGGTTCTAGAGATGCCTATTTTGGGATACTGGCTCTCTCCGTATCTGAAAAAACAATAAAACAATCGCTTCGAGAAAAGATTTAAATAAATTAAGAAAATATCTGTATTTTTGTAAAACATTTAACTTCAAATTTAAATTTTCATAGTATTAAAGAGAAATTCTATTTTTTAATGGCCCCATTCAATAGTCACCTACTACTTTATTATTAATTGCTAAGAAGTAAAATCTTTAGTTTAAATATATTGTTACCTAAAGGAGATACAAGACATCGCAAAATTTATATTAGAGACGTGCCAGGTAAAGGTTTAATTGGAGTTCGGGATACATGACCTAACAGCTAGTACTCTGATCTTTGATTTGTAAAAAACAACATGGTTCTAGTGCTGTTGATTTTGGTATTCTAGTAATCTCCATACCAGAATGAACATTAGGATAATAGTTACAAGAAAAGTTTTAAAAATTTATACTAAATTAAACTTTCAAAGAATATATTAACATTTTTATTCCTATATTTCTCCCCTCGAAATTTTTCATAAAACGAATAATCTTTTTTAATTTGTAGATTTTAATTAAAAAACTTAATACTTTAAATTTTTTTTGGGCAGCAGTAGCACCTTTAAAGCAATCATCGGTGAGCGAATTCCTGAAATCACACAAAAGTAGTTAAAGTCGAAAATAGCATTTATGAATGAAGACGAAGAAAGTGGGTGTTTAATGAACTATAGGCTACAGAATAAAAGCTAAGTTTCTCTGAATTCTAAATTTTAAATTGAAAAAGTTATTATGTCTTTAAGTGATGGTCAGTCTGAGAAATTTTTTTTAAACAAAAATTTGCATGCTGAAGATAAATAGTGCTTTTTTTTAATGATCTAATATTTAGTTGCTGGCTTAGTTTTCCCCCCTAAGAAATTAGTAATTGCTTTAAATGTAGTTGGAATTTTTATTATATTAAACGAACTCATTCCCCTTTTTGTAGCATTCAAAACTTTTTTTTGTCTTAACTGTATTTAAAATTCGAAGAGATACCAGATATCGCAAAATTTGTGCTAGAGACGTGCCAGGTAAAGGTTTAGTCGAAGTTCGGAATACATGGCCTAACAGCTAGTATGCTGATCTGAGATTTGTAAAAAACAACATGGTTCTAGTGCTGCCTCTTTTGGGATACTGGCTCTCTCCCTATCTGAAAAAACAATAAAACATTCGTTTCGAGAACAGATTTAAAAAAAACGAAGATTCAATCTCTATTAGAAAAAACAATAAAACATTCGTTTCGAGAGCAGATTAAAAAAAACGAAGATTCTTTCTCTATTTTCATAAAACATTTCACTTGAACTTTAAATTTTCATACTGAAGAAGAAAAATTCTATTTTCCGTCGGTTCTTTTCAATACTCCCCTATTACTTTATTATTTTATGCAAAGAAGTAAAATCTTCATTTTAAATATATTGTCACCTAAAGGAGATACAAGACATCGCAAAATTTGTATTAGAGACGTGCCAGGTAAAGGTTTAATTGGAGTTCGGGATACATGGCCTAACAGCTAGTATTCTGATCTTTGATTTGTAAAAAACAACATGGTTCTAGTGCTGTTGGTTTTGGGATTCTTGTTATCTCCATACCGGAATGAACATAAGGATAATAGTTACGAGAAAGTTTTTATAAATTTATCCTAAATTTATCTTTTAGAGAATATATTAACATTTTTATTCCCATATTCCTCCCCTCGAAATTTTTCACAAAAGGAATAATCTTTTTTAATTTGTAGATTTTAATTAAAAAATTTTATACAGTAAATTTTTTTGGGCAGCAGTAGCACATTTTAAGCAATCTTTGGTGAGCGAATTCCTGAAATCACACAAAAGTAGTGAAAGTCGAAAATAGCATTTATGAATGAAGATGTAGAAATGTGATCTCATAAACTAAAAATCCTCTGTTTCCGTGACGAAACTCCCTTAGTGTCTGTTATAAAAGTCTTNTGATGGTCAGTCCAGGAAATTTTTTTTAAAACAAAAGTTTGCATGCTGAAGATAATTAGTGATTTTTTTTCATGATCTAATATTTAGTTGCTTGCTTAGTTTTTCCCCCTAAGAAATTAGTAATTGCTTTAAATGTAGTTGGAATTTTTATTATATTAAACGAACTCATCCCCCTTTTTGTAGCATTCAAAACTTTTTTTTTTGTCTTAACTCTATTTAAAATTCGAAGAGATACCAGATATCGCAAAATTTGTGCTAGAGACGTGCCAGGTAAAGGTTTAATCGAAGTTCGGAATACATGGCCTAACAGCTAGTATGCTGATCTGAGATTTGTAAAAAACAACATGGTTCTAGTGCTGCCTCTTTTGGGATACTGGCTCTCTCCCTATCTGAAAAAACAATAAAACATTCGTTTCGAGAACAAATTTAAAAAAAAACGAAGATTCAATCTCTATTTTTATAAGACACTTCACTTGAACTTTTAATTTTCATAGTGAAGAAGAAAAATTCTATTTTCTATCCGTTCTTTTCAATAGCGCCCTATTACTTTATTTTTTTTTGCAAAGAAGTAAAATCTTCAGTTTTAATATATTGTTACCTAAAGGAGATATAAGACATCGCAAAATTTGTATTAAAGACGTGCCAGGTAAAGGTTTAATTGGAGAAAGTATTGATTGTGTAAGTATCACTTTAAGAAAATTCAAATCTAAGATAGATCTTACTATTAGTTGCATAACTTTTTTCGTAATACAGATATTGTAATACTGTATTTATTATTAAATTTTACATTAAATTACCTTCAATTTGATATATAAATGTTTGTATTTAAGTGAAAATTAATATATATTCTACAAGCACACAAAGTTGTAAAACATGAAACTTTCAAAAAATGTCCACACTTTTGGCCACCACTGTATATTTAAAAGAAATCCATTGTATTTATTTCTAAGTAGAACAAGATCATTAATATAATGTATAAATTATTTGTCAAAACAATTAAATGTTAAATAATATTTGATTAATAATGTGAAAAATATTATACTTTCCTCAAAAAATGCATAATTATTTTTGCGAGAGCTACAAAATACTGTAACACTTCAAAAAATAGGAATTCGTTTCAATCGTTCTGTAAAACAATTGCTCTCTCACTATTTCTGTGAGTTGCACTTTCTATAAGTGCAAACAAATTTTGTTTAAAGCAAAATATTTAGAATCAGTTTAAAGAAAAATTTGAAAAGGTTGATGATTAAACAGTTTTTCGATTGTGGATTTTCAGCAGGTAGAATCTTTCAACAATTAAAATCTTTTGGCTTTAATAGAACATTTATATGTAGAACTATAAATCGATTATGGGATAGAAATAGCTGTAAAGATCGATACAGGTCTGGTCGTATAAAAAAGCGCATTAAAAGAAATCGTGAAAAGATACGAAGAAATCTGCAGCTCTCTGCTAATAAAATGGCTGTAGAAGAGAACGTGAGTCGAACTATGCAAGTCATATTAAATGAAGACCTGGGTTTTCGCCCTTATCGCAAAAATAAAGTTAAACAACAATAGCTGCACAAAAAGGTTTATCAACAACTGCACAGAAATTAAAAAGGTTTCAAAGATGTAAGAAATTGTGAAATCGACACGGTTACAAAAGTGTTGGCAGAATAATCTTTTCTGGTGAGAAAACATTTTGCATAGAACTACGCTATAATGCTTAAAAATAATATCGTATGTTCTGTAAATTTCGATGATATACCTAAAAGTATTCGAACTGTCGCTTTTAGAACAAGAAGTCTATAATGGTTTGGGTTACAGTGTCAAATCACAGAAAATTGCCTGCTAAATTCATCGATAAAGGGGTCAAAATTAATGCTGATTATTACAAAAAGGAAGTATTTTCTACTCATTTATTGCCACATGCAGACTGGTTGTATCCCAAAAAGGATTGAATATTTCACCAAGAATCTGCACCATCGAACCGAGCCAAATCAACACAGGCTTGACTCCATGCCAATTGCCCGAAGATTATCAAGCAAGAAGATTGGCCCCCTTCTTCACTGGATCTTGATCCTTTTAGACTATTGTGTTGGAGGGATTCTAGAGTCTAAGGTTAATGCTAATCAGCACAGAAGTTTGGACTCTCTCAGAGCTTTTTTATAGAGTGAAAGGGACAAATTATCGCCTGAAATGATTCGTGCCACCATCGGACAATGGCGTAAGAGGTTATCTTCAGTAATCGTTAAAGATAGTGGTCGATTCGAATAAAAAAATTTTAAGGTAAATTTTCATTTATAGTATTCATAATTTTTGTGTATTTATCATTTTCTATTTAATATCTGTACAATCAAATGATTCGATATTTGTAACAGCATTTTACAGCCACCCTGTAAAATAAATCTCATAGATACCTGTGAAGCATCTGCACAATCACTTGACGTAATTTTAAAAAATTTGATTTAGACCAGGTAAACATCTGTAAAATATTGTACAGTTAAAATTTCAGACATTTGTCACTGGAAGGACACTCGCATTATATTTTAAAACGCTTGTCTTTCAACGATATTATTTACGATATTTGTGCTTTTACGATGGCTTAGCAGAAATAAACATAGAAAAACCAGAAAAAAAGTATATTTTTCGCCACAATAAAATTTTTAATTTTATATTCGTTTTAACTAATCACATAATCGGATATAATTTTTTGAATCTTTGTATTGAACTGAGGATTGGCTGGATCTGCTTTTCAGGATCGATAAAAGTTCCCGTTTTCCTTTTTCCTGGAATATCCATTATTTGACTGCGAACTGTGAGGACACTCTGGAAATAGAAATAAAATTTACAAAAAATACCTGAAGCATCCTCCAACAACGTCTCTGTTAACTAGGATTTCGAAGTTTCAATGGAACGTTTTAGTTAGTATTTTTTATAATTGCATTCTGAAATTATTTGGTCTATGTTTGTTCAACCATCACTGTATTTAAAGTATTATAGAAGCGAATATTGCAGTTTTAAAAAAAAATTTCTGGATGACATTTATTCTGAGTGTAGGAATCAAGTTTTAAATACGTGAATTTTCGATAATGACTATATAATGTAGTAGATTTATTCCTTTTTCCATTCTTGTTTAGAGATTTTATCCGATTGTGAATAAGTTTTTCCTCTCCAATATTTTCAACTGAAATTCAGTATCCTGCCCAGAAGGAGTAAATAGAAAATTTTGATCAAAAACTGCGTTTATTTTAAGAACGTTCGAGCCTTGAACAACGTTGATATTGCCTTTCATACAAAAAAACAACGTATCGAAATGATTTCTAGTCAATATCATGACCTTAACAGCATATTCTGGAGAACTATAACTTCGTTATTAAAAAAAGAAATATTCAAATACTGGTAGCATTGTCGCATTTTTTAAATATTTTTTTTTTGGTAAATATGTTAAACATCAGATTGTTGCTGCCTAAATACATTAACAGTGTTTTCGAGGCTGTTTTGCCAATGAAAATACGATTAGCCATAGATGGCGCCACTGGCCATAGAATTCTTGGTTATAGATGGCGCCACTGGAAAACAAGAACAATCGTACCCCCTCTGCCTAAACAGGCATACGTCAACAACAACAATGAAATTAAAAAAATGTCACAGTTTTGGTGCCTTACACTTGAGGCTAAACTATTATTCTAAACTATATATGTGCTAGCTTGCGTAAAGAATTTTCTAAGCTTAAAGACGGACAAATAAATTGAATATATTAAGAGTTATTATTTTTTTTAAAAAATCACCGATGTGGCGAGATTTTTCGAAGAAAATTATTAAAATCGGTAGATAATTCTGAATTTGTGTACATTTTAATGAGCCCAGATAATGCAGCGCTGGGGTAGATTTTTAAATATTAAAAAAAATTAGATCTGAGATGTTTTTTCAAATCTGTGGCTTTTTTTCATACTTCTGTTTCCCGTTATTTTCAGAATTAAAATGAAGGATGCTAACTAATAACAGTTGCAAACTCAGGCCATTCATGAAAATAACATATTATCCGAACAAAAGCCATGTGGTGATAGAGCCTTAGGAAAAAAAACAGCCTGTAGCTTTACTAGAGTAAAAACATAAACTGAGAACACATCTGTCGTGGAGTATGAAAGATCCATACTGCTGTAAACCTGACAATATCACTAGTAGAGCCATGATGGCTCAGTGGACAGAGCGTTCGCCTTCCAATGAGTGAATCGGGTTCGAATCCCATCGATGGCTGGTCGATACGAATTCCGCATCCGGCCTGCACCGATGACAGTGCTAACGTGAAATATCCTCAGTGGTAGACGGATCATGGGTTAGAGTCCCTTTGCCGTCAGAATAACCATGGGAGGTTTTCGTGGTTTTCCTCACCATGTAACGACAATGCGGTTTAGTTTCATTAAAAAGTCCTCCGCGAAAACCAATTTCTCCCAATACTTGATCAAGGTGTTCCCTTGTCTTCTGGACTGGGTTCAAAATTACATGGTTACGGAATTGAACATTAGCAGTTGTAAACCCGAATATTGGGTCAGCTGTTCAACAACGGTTATAAAATTTAAAAAAAATCTCACTAGTACTCAGCGCTCGAACATACAGCTGACCTTCATTGATGTCTGGAAAGATGTTTGACACTTTAAAACTGTCTTGCTACTTGGAAAACATCTTAAGATAGTTGAGCAAGTAACATGTATAAAATTCAGATTTTATAAAATAGCAAAGGTACAATCACAATTTAGTAAGCATTAAAAGTGTCCAACAGTCGGTAAAAACGACAACATTGTCCAGCAGTAGGTATGGAACTTCGAAACTCACTAACCTTTAAGGATATCTGGCAGATGGTCACAAACATGTGAACTGTCTGGCTGTTTCAGAAACATCTTAAGTAGTTGAGGCCCAAATAACATGTATAAAATTCAGTCATATAAGAACTAGTTGAACAAATAAGGTATGTTTTGTGACATTATTTTTTACTCTGAATGGAGTGAGATAAATTCTGAGACGATGGGACTAATAAATTAGAATTTAAGCATCTTACATTGCTACACAGACAATTGAGGTATTGTTTCCTACATATTTTCTTTTCATTTAATCGAATGCAACTGAATTAGAAGAATTAATATTTAAAAAAATTATTATTATTATTTGTATTATAAGTTCTTTCTTTTCTTTTTTTTTTCGAATTGCACTTGTTTCTTAAAAGAAAATTTTCTTTGATTTCTTAACTCCAATCATTTAATTCAGAGTGAAAAATTATATTTGAAAATACATCTTACATGTTGAAATAGTTTCTGCATAGCAATTTAAAATGCATACAACCTTTGAACTAACTCTTCGATTGACTTGTATATATTTCAAAACGGATAAAAGGATTCCCTATGCTTGAACTATTAGCAAACATAGAGAAAGGCATGGTTTTGATATTCGATTTTAAATTTAACTTAATAAACTGTGTTATACGCAGATGCACAATGCCTAAAAAAGTGTTTTATAATGTGTATAAATAAATGTGCAAAGTAAAAAAAAATTTAAGTACTTGACTTTTATGAAATTCAGTTTCTCAGGAACTATTCGACCGATTTTGCTCAAATTTTGTATTTTGCCATATAAATGCCATTGTTTAAGATGAAACAAAAAATTTTATAACTTACAATTCAAAAGTTTTTTTGACCATTCTTAAATAAATCAATAAAAAATAATAAATATTCACTAAAAGTTATTTTTTTGCATAGAATTATCTTTCGATACACGAGTCTTATAATTGCGTGTAAAAAATTTTCAGTTCGAAATATGCGAAAAATAAAATTAACATTAAGGGGTCCAAACTTTGGAGAGCTCTCCTAACCAAACAAATTGGGACAATATTTTAGATATTGCGGCTACCTCCTATATTTTGGGGGTCAGAAATCCGTATTTGTCGAAGAAAGGTAAGTTTATTCAGAGAAAGTACGTTTTTGGCTGTGATTTCATAACTTAAATTATCGTCCGCACTTATTAATTAGCATATTTGAGGTCATCCCCTTGAGCCATGAAGATTGAGTTGTAGAACGTGAATGCTATCATGAGATCAAAAGTTATTCAATATGGTCAACAAAAAAAATTTTTTTTTTGGCGCACTGTACATCGGCCTTGATTAAAGGTAACTCACCTATGGCCAGTTTTATGTGATAATAGTGCTCGATGTTCCCATAGAAAGGTGCTGTTCTCAAAGGGTGGTCAAAGGGTCGTTTCTCTGAGAACTCCAGAGGTCGACAAATGCACCTAAAATATACATATATATATACACTTCATACATATTAGTGAAATAAGTGAGTGACCATGTAAATAACAATCGATTTCTCTGGAATCATTTTTCTATGAAATTTCATTGACCAAAATTGTTGTGGAAATGTGGGCATATTGTTTAATAATTGGATCCAATAATCAATAATGCGGGAGTGGCAAGACACATTAGGAATTCGATACAAGTGCAAGTGCTACAGTTCAAAAAGCAAAGACAACGCCTTTTTGCAATTTTAATGACAAGTTTCACAAACAGCTTTACATGCTGCAGAAAATGTTCAAAATTCCCATCTGAAACAAAGACAAGGGCTTGCTGTAAATCTGCAGCATGTAAAGCTGTTTGTCAAACTTGTCATTAAAATTGCAAAAAGGCGTTTTCTTTGCTTTTTGAACATTTCCAGGCCTTCTGCAATGCTAGGAGATTCGTCGCCTTCAAGTTAATTGAACTGGATTCTGTATATGCGGGGTGCCCACTTAATTCCACATGCACTTTTTGAGTGACTGTAGTCTTAGCTATAAAAGCGGTATCTAAGTATATATAGCGGATGTGGGCTACATGATGCTACCTCTTACAGCAACACCAGCTTAAAAGCTCAAAGCTAAACATTCTTAACTTGAAGAAGAGATTGAAAAAAGTGGGGTAGTACAAACCGTAATTTATCATTCGAAATTTCTCTATATATATTTTGGCAGAATGGCAAAACTATGTTCCACTTTCATGTGTAGTCGCATGACACAACACTTGATAGTTGACGAAAAAAAATTTTTTTAATTTTTTTTTTAATGTGGAAAAGTAAATTTGTAATTTGCTTTTTAATTGTTATTTTTATTCATCGTTTTTAATAGTAATTATTGTAATGAGTCAATATATTCATTTCATAGCTTAATAGTCACTTTTAAATTGCATATTCCTTTCATTTTTTAGGCTAATTTCTCATTTAATTTAAGCATCTGTTTTTGATTTACTGAATAACTGAATGATTAGACTGAGGAAATGTGTTCAGAAGTTGAAGTAAAAAAATCTATAAAAATTTTCTTTAACTTATAATATACTTTTATTTTTATTGTAACTTATTATATTTGCACTCTTATTGTTACTTGTAAATTTTCATTATAGAACATCACTATAATTGTTTCCCTTTTTTTTCTCGGTAAATGTGCTCTAATTTTTTTTTTTTTATTGATGACATTAATTGAATCTATGAGTTCGTAAACAGATCATTTACAGTGGATTTCCTATGGAGATGATTTGTTTTCGGACTCATTGATTCAATTATAACTACTCTTTTTAACATTAATAGAATATTTTCCTCTAAGGTGTGATAAAATCTTTTTCAAACTACCAAAAATACTATTACTGTAATACCTGTATACATTCTAAAATCTACTATAATAAATCTAAATTGAACCTCTGTAGTTTTAATTTTTTTGGTTCAGCAATTATACTATAGGAAAGGTAAATTAAAATTCGAGATAAAGAGCATTAGGAGCCTCAAAATTTTTAAATTGCATAATGCAGTTAAATTTGAATGAATAATATCAATACATGTTCAATATCAATTCTATATTTCAATAACTGAAATACTGGATAAAAATACTTTAAAATATTTGCTCAAAGTTTATGTTTAATAATTATTATTATACTAATTTGATGTTTTACCATAATTGGAAACTTGCATTTGCCTCAAAAGTCTTTACTATTAACGTTAGAAACAATGTTATACAGAAACGTAAGAGTGATATTTTAAACAAATAAACAGAAACATCAGAATAAAATTTAAGGCAAACTAGATTTCAATAAATATGTTATTATTATTAAAAAAACATTGATAACGGTCTTTCATTTTATATTAAGGAACTTAAACATTTTACTGAAATATAATCATCAAAATTTTACGAACTGATTGATTTACATTTTGCGAACAAATTACGAAAAAACGATGTAAGGGAGGAGCTACAAAGGGACTTAAAAGAAGGCGTTGTCAAAAAATCGAATGATTTCAGTTCCAGCAGTTTTATATAAGTTGTTTTCAAGCCCCCTGGAACTCACAGGTGGAAAAAGTTGACCTCCATAAAATGTCGCTTAAAAGAATAATAGCACAGTATGTTACAAAAATGAAAATATTTATGATTAGCAATATGCATTTAAAGAAACGAAATATACGTACACGAAAGAAACGTATACATTCACAAACGTATACATACACGTTAAAGATAGGTATACATTTAAAAAAACAAACAAAAAAGGAAAAAACTACTAAGTATTTAAAGTGTGTGCATATTCCCAAATTAAATATCAAAATACCAAAATATTAATTATATCCAAACTTTTACGTTTGAGGATATAAAGAAAATAAATGACAAATTGAAATTGGATCTTCAACACAAGAGAAACCAAACAAATTATCTTAAATGGATGCACCAGCGTCAACAATTCTAGACAAATAATTAACTGTGATAACAGTTTTATGATTTAAAAAATCATTAACTTTGGTGACACCATCAGGCATAAAAGTTAGCAAATAATGCTGTGGATTATCAGAAACAGAAGATGGTTTGCATTGGGAAGGAACCACAGGTTTCCCGAATTGCTGTCCCAGTTCCAATGTTTAGTGTTTTTATAAGTTCTCGAAAAAATTCTGCCAGAAGCATTGTTTATTAAATTTGTTTGTGACAATTGGCAGGTCATTTGAAGAATTCAACCTTTGATATTGGTAACAATTGAGCATTGCATGTCCTTTTTTGTTACAAAATTGACAAATAGGTGGTTTTCGAGAGTTTTAATTTGCTCCCGGTAGGTCATTTTTTGTTTTTGTGTGTTTTTAATCAATGGACAATCTTTAATCTTTTGTTCAGCTCTACATAGAGAACAAGAATTTACAACCATACTAAATAGAGATGACAACTGTGTCACCTGTTCTTTGAAAACTTGAATTTCTGTAATATAATATAATATAATATAATATAATATAATATAATATAATAACATTCAACTAAAAACGTTAAATATTTATTCTTACTTTCTTCGTAGGGTTAATGGTTGTCTGACAGAGTCTTTTTTAGTAATTGGCCAGTCGGCATACTGATTGAGGGTGGCTGCCATTCTAAAATCGAGAGAGTCAGTGAACGAAGATTCTAAATCGAACTTCCTTAGGGCAGCCAGAGTGGGTGAATAATAGAGGCGGATGCAAGGATCTTCATCATTCAAATTCAATTTGGATGCCTATTTAAATAGGAAAAAAAAACACCAGAGTATCTTATGAGAAATAAAAAATTAAAATGTAGAATTAAAAATTGAAAATATTCGTGCAAATTTAAAATTGCAAACTGAAGTTTAAATAACGAATTTAAAAAAAGCAGAAACTTTTTAGAAATTTAGCTATTTGTATTGGCAAAAAATATTGCAATTATTAACATATATCTCTCGTTTAAGTAGTTATTAATAGAATAATGATAAAAAAATTTTATATAATCTAAATATTTAACCAATAATATCATTCAATAATATGTGAAAAAATATATTTAAAACCATGTCTCTCGTGTTTAGGTAGATATTCTATTGTTCTATTTTTGAAATGCACGTATTATAAAAAAAATCCTTAGCTTCAAAACTATTATTTCTATTACCTCAAATTGTATCTCAAACAATTCAGTACAAAAAGTTTCATCAGAAAATGTATCGCGCATGTTCAAATTGCCCCTACGTAGCAATACATGAGTCTGGTCAAAAATAGTACTTTTAGTTTATTAAAGCACCTTATATACTTTTGTATATAAAAGCACCTTAAACTATTTGTTCTATTGACTCGTGCATAGTCTCATTCTAATGTGAAAAATTACACTGGAAATACTGTCTGACTTGCTTAGATATCAGCATCAGATGCGTAAATATATATCAGTGCAAATTTGTGTATTTTATCTATAAAACCTTTTTAACTTATAATCCGATCGTTTCCGGATTGGTCTCATTCCATTCAATGTGAAAAATTACATCGAAAATAATTCCACACTTGTCTATCTAGAAGAAATTTAATTCTCCCTCTTATATCATTCCCACTTCCCTCAAAAAAAGAGAAGAGGAGAAAGACAGTTTTCAAGTATAACATAACAAAGCCTTTTGTCGAAAAAAATACATTAAATATGAATTTTTCAACAAAAAAACACTTATTTTTCATATAATTACTGCACTAATTATAAAATAAGTGTAAATAATTTGCAATTTATATGATGATCCATGCTTTTAAATACTTCATGAAATTGGATTTAAATAAGAACATTATTAATTAAATATTATTAGAAATAGAATAAATGCATAATACTTTTAATATGATAATCTGCTTATCATCAAGAATTTAAAATGATTGAGAAGTAATAGTTGCGGTCAGGGAACAGAGCGTGTAGGTTACTAATGGTACGCATTGCCCCCAGTGGTATGCATTGATTAAAATAAAAATCTTCATGCACAAATATCCTAAATAGTCATTTCCATTAATTCAAAATTTTTAATGAAACATTTAAAAAGAGCGCAGCAAAACGTTTTAGAAACCACCATTTTGAATGTGCGCCATTATTGTTCTGAGCTAAATCTAAGATGGCCTTTTATCAAAAATTATAGCTTTACATGTGTGGTACACGTGTACAAATTTTATGATTCTATCATAAATGGCGCGATTTTTTTACCTATCTGCAGTCCTGAAGTGACATTATCAGAAACCATTATTCTGGGAAATCCATGAAAATAAAAGACGTCCTTTAAAAGTTTAAAAGTTGTACTAGAAGTAGGTGAATTTTTCAAAATACAATTGTCTGCCCATTTAGTTTGAACATCAATGCGTAATCAAAAATGATGACCTTCAAAGAGGCCAGTCTAATCCATGTGAATTCTTTTCCACTTGTATTCTGGATCGACCCAAAGGAGTATTTCAACTTTTGGTGAATTTTTCCAAAGTTTGACGCAGTCCTCACAACTGTTTAAAACATTTTCAATATTACAATCGATTTGTCTGGCTAGTTTTTTTTTCCTTCATTTTTATAATACTGATAAGTTTTATTCAAATTGTTCTAAAATTGAATTTCTGAGATTTTTAGGACTGGAACGGAGACAGGAGAACCTTCGGACTTAGTTTGTAGATATTCGATGATTTCTAGTAACTCAGATTCATTTGCTGTTTCCTTTGCTAGATGAGAGTCAAGCTGGAAATGTGAAAGAAGGATTCAGAATAAAAATCACTCACTTCTTCGTTAATCAAAATATCTGCTGATATTGAATCTAGTGAAATCAGTGTGCGTGATAAGCAATCGCCATTTTCATCTTCTTTATATTTCTTAAACACGACTTTGTAATAAAAGCCTAAGAGAACGGCGCATAACGATGCACAATTAATAAATAACGTGTCATTTGTGGTAAAGATCGATACTGTCTAAAATTTCAAGTGAGTTGTTCTTTGTCCGTTACCAGTGTGAAGCTTCTTTCATAACTACAGCTATAAAACTTATTAACTGCGAAAATTATTGCTAGAGCTTCTAGGTCTAATTCACTATAGTTAATTTATGATATGTCAATGATCTAGATACATAGCAATAGGTTTCTCTTATTCATTAATGATATGGCTGAGAACTACAGCTATTCCACTCTAAACTTACAACCTACGTCAGTACAAGAAACAAATTTGGATCAAACGGTACTAAAACAGGGTGACTGCACATTCTAGCTTTCAATTTTAAAAAAGCTGATTCACATGAAGCTGTTCATTGAAATCTTCGATCCTTCTACAACAATCTGTGAAAAAGGTATGACACTCTTGAAAATTCGGGGAGAAAACTTGAGTAATAAGTGATCATGTATAGAAATCTTCAAACTTCATCCACATTTGTAGGTCTTGGTATTTCAGAAAAGCACAAATTTTATACGGAGATTTTAATACTTGATTTTTCTCAATGATGTATTCTACATATTTAATTCACGTTTGGAAAAATGAGCATTTATTTTTGTTCACACGCAGATTGCACTCTGAAATCCGTTGTAATCATAGTCTCATATAGTAAGCACATTCGTTTTTAGTTGCACCATGGACAATTATGTCATCAAAATATGGTTTAAAATTTCGTAAACACTATAATATCTGTGATAACAATCTATTGAATTCCAAAAATCCAAGACCAATATTCCTGTTTTCGAGTGTCAGTTTCTACTTGATAAGAGATTGATTTACCTGTAAGAAAGTAGTAACTAAAAATGGCTGAACGTTTATGCAAGATGCTGAGACTTTAGATTTTGCATTCTAAGTCAACTAATTTAAAGGGTAACCAACTTTTAAGTGATTTTGACAACAAGGCTGGTGTTGAAACAAAGCTAAAGACAATTTTGTGAAGGATGATACGTTCACCAAACCCTTAGATAAAGCATCTAAACCTAAACTAGACTCGACTGAAACTGTCACTATTATACAACACGCACGTTTAACGTACGAAATATTTCTGTTGGGAAATCTACTGACATAACATCTGCTTTAATTGTGGAAAAGAACAAAATAAGGCGTGAGAAACTTTAGCTTCCCATACAGCACAACTTATTCAGTAGATGTCCAGAATTCGGCCACATGATCCATTAGACATCAAGGATCAACTATCGACGTCTACTACATAGATATAACTTATTTTTGGATAATCCACAATGCTGTAAATACAGATGTCTTATAGATAACTACGGTAGACGTAATGTGGATAATATTTACGGTGGATCTTAGAAGACGTCTATGAAGCAACTATCAAAAAACGTTTCTTAGGATGTTTCTCGTAGATGAAAATTGGACGAATTATTGAAGTTAAATGAATAGCTTGATGAATAAACACATTTAGTGAATACTGTTTACATTTTGTTACAAATTATACCTAATGCGTTTCATTTTAATTTGGCATCAAATATTTACGATGCGTATAGCACAAAACCAAAATAAGAAGAATAACAAGAAAAGCAATCCCAAAATTACGAATGAAAGTTGTTAGAAATTGCGACCGTTTCTTTTAGACTCGCATGAACAATATTTACTATTCAAGTAAGTGCAAAACAACTCGCCTTAGCTCATTTTTTCTGTTCCCATAACAACGATTGTTTTTTGTGTTCTAAAAGCATCAATATTTAGAGTAGGTTATTACACTACTAAGTCCTAGTACTTTTCGAGTTTAATGTGATAAATGAATAATTTACATGAAAAGCATCTTATAAGCTAATATACCATTTTATTGAGTTATTTTCAAGAAGTTACATTTGTTAAGTGTCTATCGTCTGTTCATCATTGTTCGTCTATATTATGTATTTGTAGTCAAATAAATGCATTAGAGTAAAAATATGCTCTTTATTATTGTGGTTTCTGAAAATATTGACGAGTTAAAAAAATCTCGAACACAATATCGAAGATTATTCTTTAAAGCTTACAATGATTTTGATGAAAAAGAGACTAATTTAAACAGTGATGACAGGTTAATCTAACTTTAATTTATTGAGCAAAAAGCGACAGGAAGATAAAAAACAGAGACAATTTTAATGCTTATGAAGTTCATTAAGAAACATGCGAGGCAGAATTTGATGAATCTGAAACATATATTGATCGTTGGCAATTTTTTGGAACAAACTTATAAAATTTGTAACTTCTGATGAAGAAGATTCTGCGTTTGGTGTCAAGAGAAACCTTGCTACGTTATCCTAAAATTCAACACCCAGTTTTTAGTGGAGATATCTGACACTGGTTAAATTTTTGGAAACAATTTTTAAAAAAATGGTAAAGATCCCAATTCGGAGAATCATGATAAATTTTCGTATCTATTACAAGCCATACGGGAAAGGGATAGCTAAGGAGTTGACTAAAAGTTTTCTTTCAAATGGAGATAGCTATAGAAAAAACCTATAGGCCAATTTAAAAGTAGATTAGGAAGATAGGGAGATATTCAATCAAGTTTATGTAAAGGATCTACTTTCCTTTGTTTTCCAAAAAGATTACAATGAAAAAAAATCACTGAGAGGGCTCTATGATTTGTAAGAGACTAAATTACGTAATATGGAGTCCAAAGTGAAACCAGAGATAATTATGCATCCATGCTGTTTCCCATCAAAATCAGAAAACACGACTTCATAAAAGTTTATGTTAATAATGTGTATTTTTTATAATAAAATATTTTATGTTGTATCCAGTTTTAATGTAAATAATATTTAGCGATAAAATCAGGAAATTTTGTATGCTTCTGATTTGTAATTTAGTTTTCAAACACATTACTTCTCTAAAAGCATGATTACTCTCTATCGGTCGTGATCGATTATTTACTGTGTTTCACTTTGTTTGATTAGTTCAGAGAGAGTGAAAGACAATAAGGTTCCATTAGGATAATTTATGCAGAAAATGAAGCAAAATTCAAGTTTCAAAGTAATTTATATAATAATTAAATACATAAACAAGAATGAAAGATATAATTTTAACATATTTTTAGAGCAGAAGATATTAAGGCTTTATAGGTGAAAGTATATAGCAATATTTGAAAAATATAACGATTAAATTACTTTTCTCATCATATTTTTCAAATATTGCTATACGAATCAAGTGAATGTCATTGCATAAAAAGGTGAAAAAGACAATAAAGTTATAATTAAACGAGTTTACCTTCTTTAAAGAGTTCATTTCCTGAAGAGTCAATACAATATGAATTTGGAAATATTTATTGAAAAATCTATTCTTTCAAATTCAATCATTGTGGAAATTGAATGGATCTTCCCATAATCAGGCTTTTAGCTCAGTTTTGTAAAATATTTGTTTGAGATATATTATGTTTAAGTTATTATTCCAGTTATTATGATATTTAAGTTATTATTCCAGGAGAAAAAAAATTATAAGAGTATGGTGACTGAAAATGAATGATTTATGACTTCAGTAATAATTATCATTTGTTTTGTTTTTCTTTTCTTTTGCATCCAAAAATTAAAGTTAAAAAAATAAATCATACCACACGCCTTTTTACACTAGAAAATCATTACAATATTCTGTTTCAATTTCAAGTCAGCATTTCTAATAAAAAGTAGGCGTTACTCTAAATTTGCACTCGTTACACTAAAATTAGAATCACTGAATTAGAATTATAGATATTACCAGAATTCTCCATATACATTAACACATTTTTTTTTGGCTTTGAGAATTTTTATATTTTTTGTAAGCAACTTATTCATTGATTTAAGTTTGATATTTGCTCTTCTGAAATGACTTAGTGTCTGTTTTCAATACTGTTCTGCATAAGTCAAAACGAACACGAAGTATTGAGTCGCCTCACTTAATACGTTAGTAGGCGTTACTCTAAATTTACTTTTACTGGAAGAAATGCCTACAGATACTAAAAATAAGAAACTGTAAGTATTTCTAGTTGCATTAAACTTTCAGTTTTACGCAAACACATTTTAATCGGCTTTGAGAATTTTCATAGTATTTCTTTTAAGCAACTTATTCATTGATTTAAGTATATATATATATATATATATATCCAAAATCAAAGTAGTGCTTTGGGGACTTGAATTTGTTTTAACACTGTGAGGTCAGCTGTCCGTGTGGTTGCTGGATAATTAGTTCAAGCACTTTGCTCGAAGAAATTAAAATACGAAATAATAAGAAGCAGCTCACTCAAAAACTTTAGCATGCTGGCTGTAGGTGAGAAGGAAGTCCACCAACCAATCCTGGAATCGCATAAGTTTAAGATCCGCCCAGTTTATTAATCACCGGACTTGGACGTATTGTTATCAAAGGATTCCTTGGTAATATCGCGGCTAAATTATATTTACTATTGTTTTTAATATTAGCCTTATTATATATTTTGATATTACTTCACAAGAGCTGTTTTCCTACAAAAAGCTTATCATGCACGGAGTGGCAGTCGATGTTAGTAATGATAATGCAATGTTATATGTAAAGGACAAATGTTTTTAATTTTAATTGTTGCGTGGGAATATATTATATTGTCACTCATAAAATATCTAATATTTTCTCAATAAACAACCAGGGATGCAAACTGCTTCTCTTTCTGCGAATGTTTTAAGAAATTGGTAGTATACATTAAATAGAAAAAATTTAAGAATAATTACGCCCACCCTTGAGTAACCACGGAATAAATACACTTAAGTTGCATTTCATATGATGCTTCGCATTTCTGATGTGATTTTTGAGGAAAAAGTACTCAAAATGAAAAATTCTAAACTAAGAATAACATAAATTTCGTTACTACAAGAAAACACATTTTTCCAAAGTCGAGCAAGTTGACATCTCTGAGAATAGTAGAGCATGGTAAAAGAATGTGTTTCTATATAAATGTATTAACTCTAGGAAATCAAAATGTTAATCATTCAACAGTGTTAATTAAAAAAAAATTCAACATTTTATTTTAATCATGATCCAAACATAACATCAGTTGCTTGAGAAATATATTTAAACAATCCTAATTATCTTTTCATTGTTCGCAATATTTTGCTTACTGGAGAAATAAATAGATAGTTTCTTATGTGATGTCTTAATATTTTTAAACCAATTAAGTATAAAAAATGCAGTTTTTTTTTTCAAATACGAACTACTTGTTAAGTGGCGCACCATATCACATTCAATTCCAAACCAGGACTTTTTTTTTTTAAATTCATTCGAATGAATACTAGGTGTCTTCATTTTCGCAATACTTAGGGTGGGTAAGGAAGAAGGTGATAATATATCTCAATTTAAGACGCGATACTTTAACGTCATATGTTTTTAAATATTCAGTCAAAAATATAAATTAAAAATCATTTTGATATGCATCTGTATTTATCCAAACGAAATTAGCGTTAAATTTGCAAACCTCACAAACGAAATATGTAAGGTCAAGTACTTGTAAGATTGAAGCACTTGTAAAACATTTGTTTCCAAGTGTAATTATGTAGAAAGAAACATGAGTATACAGAAGAAAACATGTGTACCACCCAGCAAACGGGGAAAAAAACCATCTTCTGATAATTTTCTATATTAAGTGCCTAGCACAAATCCTTTGCTGTTGTTACTAAAAAGACTTTGTTTCATCAAAAGGCACTATCTCTAAAGATATTTCAGTAATCTCAAAAGAAGAATTTTTATATTATTTTCAGACATATTTTATTCTGTAAATTAATCCCTCTAAACATAATTTTTTTCCTCCCTGGTATAAACAGTATGCGTGAAAATTACACAGTCCTATTGTCTTTTTAAAATAGAATTGCCATCGTCTGTAACAATTACTTTTGCTTGGGTCAAGTGCTTTAATTGTCCTTGTTTGAAAAAGGTTTAGAAACTTATACATTTATATTTCGTTAAACTTATGTAAAAAAGTTAACTTGCCCACCGTTTGTTATAAAATCCCCTACCTGAATTAGGTAAGATCAAAAATTTGCATAGGCGCTATAAATTTGTCGCAGAGTGTAGTTATCTGTATAAAAAATACATGTTCGAGAACACAATCTTACCAGTAATTAAAATAAAACATATTTTTTGAGTTTTCCGTTTCGCATCAACTTGTATACTCATCTTACACTGAATTAATTTAGCGCTCAGTCATCCTACATAGTACTTTATCTAGTAGTTACGATGACTGAGTTATTGAGAAAGAAGTTGATTGCAGATATGTAATTGATAAGTGACGCGAAAGCAAAGAGATGGGCAAAACTGCTACTTTTCAGTCACTGTTATTTCTGCTACTGGAACCCAAAAGTAACAGTGACAAATAGCAGTGACTCTTATTATTTCGATATAGATTTAATCGATGTTTTATATCGATTAATCGTTTTTATTTATAAAAACTTGGTATAAATTAATCGATTAAGTGCTTTAGTTAATAATCGATATGATTAGTTTTTAGTTAATTTAATCGATATAATATTTTTATTGTAAAATTAATCGCTGTAATTAGTTTTTAGTAAAATTAATCTATATCATCAATTTTTAATGTAGTCAATTAAAATAATTAATCTTTATACTGAGTCATTCTTATGGAAAGAGATAATTTTTAATAATGTATATCGCAGTACGCAATTTAGTAGTATGGTTTTTAATAACTAATATGGGACCTTATTTAATTCTTGTAAAATGTTAAAATAACAAAATCAAAGCTTTTATCTCAGATAAGATATTAAATTAAAACTCATAATTCTTCTCGTTACTAATATTTTCATAATGATATTACAGTGAAAATCTGATCTCAAAATTTTTGTAGTTGAGTTATTGGCATTTAAAAACGATGAATGATGAGATTAATTCAATATTTTATATTATAGAATACTGATTTCTTCATTAAATGTACAGTAAAATGAAAACTTAATCGCAAGTAAATTTTTAGTAATGTTGTCAAACAAAAAATATCACCGTATTAATGAAATTCTTCATAGCTTTTCAAACTTTTATGAAGATTTTTTCTCCTTTATAAAAGAAAAGAATGCGT